AATAGCAATGGTGTTGGCAGTTAAACAACATCTACAGGACATTTTATAAATCTAGAGGGTAACCAAATGCATTGAAGCCCATATACGAGTGTGACACCACCTATCCATTAAGAATAAGAATAGCAGGGTTGCCAGACCTTTTAGTGGCTCTGTATAATCACCTACTGTCTGACTGTAATGTTTAAATTGCAGAATTTTTGTTGCTGGAGTATAGGGGGGTTTCATTGCTGCCCACCTTCTAGGGCAAACGGCTAAACATACAGTTGAAGTATATATATGTTTACTGTTTTACCTGTCAAAGGGTTTGTAATTCTGAATGGACAATCTATGGCAACACCCATAGTTCATAAATAAGAAATTCAGCTTCCTATATCACTTCTCTGCCTCCATCCTGCTCATTAGACATTGAATCAGCCTCATTACTTCTGTCCAGTGAGTAGGGAGCTGACCCAGACAGCAGCAATGATAAACCCGGAAGTAGCAGGCTGACCCTAAATAACAAATCCTATGGCAGGTGAAACATTAAACTAGGGATGCACCGATACCGATACTAGTATCAATATCAGTGCCGATACCGAGTACTCGTACTCGCCCAAATGCTCCGATGCCTAGCCCGATACTTCCTGTATCAGGAAGCGCGTCATTACACGCTGCCCGGTTTCCTGATTGGCCGGGAAGCGGCTCCATGCTCTCTCGTCACTTGTGATGAGAGAGCATGGAGCCGACTTTCTGGCCAATCAGGAAGCCGGGCAGCATGTAACGGCACGCTGCCCGACTTCCTGATTGGTCAGGAAGCTGGCCAATCAGGAAGCTGGGCGCCGTGTAATGACACAGCACCCGGCATTCTGATTGGACGGGAAGCCGGCTTCATGCTCCCTCGTCATCTCATGAACAGGGAGCATGGAGCCGGCCTCCCGGCCAATAAGAAAGCAGGGCGCCGCGTCATTGCATGGCACCCGGCTTCCTTGATTGGCCAGCAAGCGGGCTCCATGCTTTCTCGTCACATAGTGACGAGAAGCACGGGACTGCTTTCTTGTTAATCAGGAAGTCGGGTGGCGAGTCTTTACATGCTGCCCGGCTAATCAGGAATCCAGGTGGCTAGTCATTCCACGCCACCTGACTTCCTGAATGGGACTTCCAGTACTTGGTATCGGCGAGTACCGGAAAAAAATATATCGATACTCGGTACCGAAATACCGGTATGTATTAAACGTATGTGTATTTTGATTCTTTGCCTAGAGCTCCCCTTTGAAAATACACTTATCATTTGAAAAGATACCCAGTACAGCAGAAAACACGTGTCTATAAAATATTTTCACAATAGCGATACAAAACAGAATGTGCAAACCTGATGCACATAATTATAATAAAGAGCAGACATATGAAAAAATAACATGATTTATTATGGAAAGAGCTACTGCCCCTGGTTAAAAAATTATATATGAGCGACAATAGTACATATATGAATCAACAGCATAAAAACACATTGTACTGATTTGTTACAAATTATTGGAATCACAGCCAAAACCATAAGATCAGAAAATGCTTTTCTCTGCCTCTGATTAACAAGCTGAGGTGTTTTTGCATGCTGCAAATGATTATGGGAGTAAAAGACACAAACCTGACAACTGGTACTCCGTGCCGTCTCATAAATAGTCAATCTTTTGATGTAAACTTCTGAAGATTTTTTTTTGATAAGACTAAGAGGGGAATCCTAACTAAAATACATTTTGGGCAAGGTGGAATACGTTATCTGAAGAGCCAGTAAGCCCAATATATAATCTATGTACAGGACTGGAATTATTACAAGTTACAGAGACATGTCAAAGTGTCAAAGGGGCTTATCTGAACTGACAAGGTTTTAATTCTGAGGACACTCTAGGCTGAGTTCCTGTCCAATAAACACACAGAAGGACACAGGAGGTCTCTAGTAAGAGTCCTTCAAATTAAAATGGCCAACATAAAACAGTGGTCTAAATCTGGCAACACGTTACAATATAATTGTGTCATTTCATTTATATTTACCAACGACTATTTAAAGCAAAGAGCCGGTCTGATTCGATGTATGTTGAACAGAATGTTTAGGTAGGCCCTTGTACTATATGGTAAATCTACAGACAACTGTACCAAGATTGTCCAATCACATTGTAATAAGTGTGGTCAGTTTGAGGATAACTCAATAATATGTTGCTTCAATTCCAATGTTGCTTGCATTGACTGGGTTAATTCTGACCTCCCTTGGGGTCTATAATAGAAGCATTTGGTTTGCTACAGCACAGACATTTTCCATCTTGTTGGAAAATCTAAGGGCCAATCCAATCCTTCACTTTTCTATGTAGAGGAGAAAAGAAACAAATTACGTGTGCAATGCTGTCATTGTTGACATGGGTGTGGGGTTCTAATCACTTGTTCAGGAATAGGTATCACCCCTGTATTGGGGGACATAGCTTTTCATTGACGAGCAGTCTTAAGGCACCCATACACATGAAATGACAGATGGCTTTATTTGGCAATTTTTAGGGTACCCACAGACACAACAGTTCCTCTGAGGAAACAGCAATCATAGATTGCAAGCTCTCAAGAGCGGGGCTCTCCTATTCCTCCTGCCTTGATTTGTAATGTAACTGTGCTGTTCTCCTTTTGTTTTGTAAAGCGCTGCGCAAATCCTGTATAATAATAATACATATTAATAATAACAGCCAGACAGAGTAACAGAACTTGTCTGATTCCAGTTTTGTGTCCTGATAAGCCATCAGTGGAGGTGTTGGTGGAACATCTCCCCCTTCATTACAGGACATGCCAGTGGACTCCGATGTCAGAGGGTCAGAATCTTTAGTGTCATAAGACATGTAATTAAACTGGGCATTTCACGTTTCTGTACATGGCTACTTGGGCAAACAGCCTAAATCACAGAAGATTCTATAACAATTGATGTTTCTCCCTTTTTTTTTTGCAATTAAAATGAACTGGATTTCAGATAACATGGCCAGTGACACCCAGATAGGAATATCTGCCTGTATGGGAAGGTTGGAGTTTCTGTCCTGTAACAGGCACGAGGAATTTGTCAAAATAGACTACTGGCAATGGGCTTTTAGCATTATGGAAACCCCCCAAAAAAGTGAGGTGCGTTCACTATAATACAGTCTTTAACATTATAAACATATATTATGGCTCACTGCAGAGCAGAGCATTGCTTCATTATATCGGGAAGCCATGGATTGCCTATATCATTAAACATATATCTTCTATGAGATAAATCATTTCTGGAGTTTTATATACATCTATAATTTTTTAATACTAAAAATAAAATTGAGTGATGTTGCCAATGTATAACCTATGGCTAATGCACACCACTGGATGGAGTTTAAAGTACATGGCAGTAGTTGGGCAGATTTTAGGACAAGTACAACAAAGAGTTTGGAATTGCCAGTGATAAACTTTACATGAATAGGCAGCAAACGTTTCAAAATGATCATATCTGTAAATCTGAAGCATCGTGAGATAACACACTGCTATAACATTTCTGCCTCCCAAATGAGCAAGACCGATAAAAATGCACAATTGTAGCAATCTTTGGGCAGGCATCCAGCAGAATATGGGTAACACAGATATGAGGTCCATTTTCTATAATTGGGTAGTGCAACAAAGCAAAAAATATCTGCAGCGCCAGATGCAGAAAGCTTCCAGGAGCCCTATACCGCTCTTGTTTAATAGCGGAAGTAGACTTTTATAAGGTTCCTTCACCGAGCCAGGTCTGTTACAGGCGCTGTGGGCTTACAGCCAGGGTAGTCCGGGACCCTTTAGCGCTAGATTCCAGTCAGGTGCTGACATCTTCAGCAAATCCTGGCCTCTGAGGGATGCAATATCACTACTGGAGATCCATGGCACTCAGCAAATGGTTAAGCCTTGGGGAAGTAACATAAATCACTACTCTGCTGTAAAGTCTTCAGTGCCTCCTGGGCTGGATTCACCGTTAGGCACCAGACTCTGGAGGTGACAGTGCTGTACATTGTTATTAGTCATTCATTCAGTCCTTTATGGTCAGGATAACGAGGGAAAATCCAAGAGTGGTGGACTAATTTATCTGAAAGTTGGAGTACACTATTAGTGTATCAATATTTGCTATTAACCCACACCTTTGTGCATACATGCTCCACTGGTGAGAATCCAGCCCTGGCTGACCCTCTCTTTGCGTTGAGACATATTAGTAAAAGCAAAAAGCACTGGAGACCAAAAGTGATGACAGTGGCCCGCAGAGGCTAGGACTTATGGAGCTACTGGCTTCAAGCTGGAGTGTGTTATACTACAGGGTTCCACTCTCCCCTTACTCTGGGCTGATGGGTGAATAAAAAGACCCTTTAAAGGTCATATGATTTGGCTGTAAAACCATCATAAAATAGAGCAATATTTTAAGATGGGAGAAACAGATTTGGCTAAGACAGGTCCTCCTTGATTAATATAACCACCAGCAATTACCTTCTCCACAGTGAATGACTAATCGGCCCAACTTAAAGAAGTACTTCAGTGTAAACAAAAACTTTTCAAGACTTTGTTATGGCCGGACTATCAAGATATAAATAAACTTAATCTATTCATATTTTTGTCCAGGTTTCTGAAGCCAGGAGAACCTCCAGTAGACAATTTGGGGTTAGGGTCAATTAGCCAGGTTGGACCCTTTGGGTAACAGCCTACACTTTCTAACATGTGCCTATATGCTCTTTGGGGTAAAGAAAAATCTGTTTATGGTGGAATGGTTAGTCAACACCGAACCTGCACTTAAGCCTATAGTCACCTTTAGTCTTCCACCATAAGACTTTCAACCTTTGTGGTAGAAATAACTTTCTTTTGTCATCCAGAAGCACTGGTACCACTTACTGAACTGAGTATCTACACCTTCTTGATATCAATTTGTGGACAAATGATTCACAGCAGGAAATGTCACAAAAGGATTATTTGCATGGATGCGTGTTCGACAAGGTTAATTCTACTGTATTTCCATGGACTCAATCTTTCTGTAACTATGGACACATGTACAAATGGGGTTCAGGTGGATGAAATACAAGTTGTTATAGACTCGAGTTGGGAAACTGGCCATACAGTTTTAGCTCCCTTTACTGTTCTTTATACACCGTGTGCCAAGGACAAAGCTAACCGAAGCCAGCCACTGGGGCAAGCAAGCAGGTTCCAAGGGACACGCACATTGCTGGGGGTGAAGCCCCTTTACAGACAGACAGGCAGATGAGGTTAGATGTAAGTCTTGGCACCTTTGGCATTTTTGTCCAAATAAACTTCGATGTAGGATGATGGGACATAACCCTCCTCCTCCTCGTTCCTGCGGATCCGTGTCCATCCATCTCCTTTATCCTCCTCAATGACGTTCAGTACTTCGCCTTCCGCTACAGATATAGTTCCTTCATTTTCACCTGGTGGGACAAAGCCAGAGTCAGCAGCGTCCAATTACATGAAGTCATGCAAAGCTGTGCAGGAAACTATAACTGTACTATAAGTGCAGGAATCTATAAGGGTACTACCATCAAAGGGGTATAAGGCTTTACAGGTTCCTATTGTGGGCAGGGGCTCTTCGTCATCGAAATCATCATCGAACTCCGTGGGCGTCACCTTCACCTCCGTCTCCTGGCTCTGGTCTTCTGTGTAACTGCCATCTGGGCTGCTCAAGAGAGAAAACCATAGAATCACTATAGCAACAGACTCCAGAACCACCAGAGGATACTGCAGTGTGAGGAAAAGGTCCTCAGGCTAGCTGAATGGCAAGTACTGTATTGTAAAGCTCAACTCAACTTTTTTCTTTAGTTTTGGGTCGGGTGTACAAGGAATACAACCTATGCCAGGTTTCAACTGCAGTTGGTGTCCCTGTTGAAGACATTTTTTTCTGTAAGATTTAAATAGCTATCTTTGTATTCATAGAAGGGGTTTATCTTCCTGTTCTGTCTAAGGGCTTGTTCACACCATTGCCAGAACAGATCTGGATGCGTTTCTGCAAACACAGTCATGCGCGTTTATGAAACGATGCGTTTATTTTTGTCCCAATTGGTTTTGCTTAGGTTTTAGGGGCGTTCCAGTCCAATCTGGTGCCTTTGCATGTAATGTTCTGTGCATTCCAGACCAGTAAAAATGCAGCACACTGTGCTTTTTTTTATTAAAGCTCTGGAACTGAACACAATGGTGTGAACTAGTTTCATATTTGAACAAATATAACCAAGTTAATATAATACTCAACCCCTTACCCTTAGCTACGGTGCGAGCTAGTGACAGTTCACTATATCAAAAATTGTAAATATATTGCACTGTGCTTTATGCAATATTAGACCTTGTATAGAAGAAGTCAGAAGTGACTAAATGTGTCGGTGGGCGGGACACACTGGCACCACAAGGAAGTGTCTTAGGATGCGAGTGTATGTACTTAACGAATTTAAAATCTCGTAATATACAGGGGTACGGGTACTCCTAGAATGAGATCCTAATAGGTTGGACTTGATGGACTAATGTCTTTATTCAACCTCAAATACTATGTAACTATGTAACTATGATTCTAAATTCATGTAAATGCAACTTTTAATTCTACCAAAAAATTTATTTTGATACTACACAATGGGGAGTATGTATGTGCTTTCTGAGCACCTATGGAGGAACATCGGCATGAGAAAAGAAAAAGGTGTAGCTAGTATAAATAGAGGTGCTTAACCCTTGGATCCCAGGGGATCGGAGCGGTGAAAAGAGTCTTTTTGGCAAGCTTATGTGGCTCATTTGAAAAAGGGTGACCATTGAAAGTTGGTGAGTGCGGATATACACTATATTACCAAAAGTATTGGGACACCCCTCCAAATCATTGGATTCAGGTGTTCTGTGACATTTCCTTGCTACTAAATATTCTGCGGTCAACTGTTAGTTGTATTATAACAAAGTGGAAGCAGCTGGGAACAACAGCAACTCAGCCATGAAGTGGTAGGCCACGGAAAATGACAGAGCGGGGTCAGCGCATGCTGAAGCCCACAGTGCGCAGAAGTCGCCAACTGTCTGCAGAGTCAATAGCTACAGACCTCCAAACTTTGTGTGGCCTTCAGATTGGCACAACAACAGTGCGTAGAGAGCTTCATGGAATGGGTTTCAATGGCCGAGCAGCTGCATCCAAGCCTTACATCACCGAGTGCAATGCACAGCGTCGGATGCAGTGGTGTAAAGCACGCCGCCACTGGACTCTAGAGAAGTGGAGACGTGTTCTCTGGAGTGACTAATCACGCTTCTCTATCTAGCAATCCGATGGACGTGTCTGGGTTTGGTAGTTGTAGGAGAACGGTACTTGTCTGACTGCATTGTGCCAAGTGTAAAGTTTGGTGGAGGGAGATTATGGTGTAGGGTTGTTTTTCAGGGGTTGGGCTTGGCCCCTTAGTTCCAATGAAGGGAACTCTTAAGGCATCAGCACACCAATACATTTTGTACAATTTCATGCTCCCAACTTTGTGGGAACAGTTTGGGGATGGCCCCTTCCTGTTCCAACAAGACAGCACACCAGTGCACATAGCAAGGTCCATAAAAGACATGGATGAGCGTGTTTGGGGTGGAGGAACTTGACTGGCCTGCACAGAGTACTGACCTCAACCTGATAGAACACCTTTGGGACGAATTAGAGCGGAGAAGCGAGCCCGGCCTTCTCCTCCAACATCAGTACCTGACCTCACAAATGTGCTTCTGGAAGAATGGTCAAACATTCCCATAGACACACTCCTAAACCTTGTGGACTCCTTCCCAGGAGAGTTGTAGCTGCAAAGGGCGGGCCAACTCAATATTGAACCCTACGGACTAAGACTGGTATGCCATTAAAGTTCATGTGCGTGTAAAGGTTGGCGTCCCAAAATTTTTGGTAATATAGTGTATGTCCTTAAGCACAGTGGAATCTTGGAATCTCGGTTTTTCACTATCAGTGAAGAAGCAAGGAGGTGTATTATATACATGTTTAAAGAGGACTACACAGAAACTGAAAGGGATTTAATTCACTTAATAAGTCACTTTACTTTCACTTTACAGAAATTTGGAATTCACAACTGTATTAGTTGATACATATCACGTTCTATTGTAATTCAATATTTTATTAGTTTATGTTTGTAAGAGATTATAAGATTGTATAAAGTGCAGTGCAATATATTTACAATTTAGCCTCATTTTTAGCATTGGAATTAATGTGTATGCATTTTTGGTCCTGATGAAAAATGTTCCGGTTAGGAGATCGTGTGAACAAGCTCCAATTCCTGTCTGCAGGACAGAGTTGAGAAGAATCTCTCTCATCATGACAAAGACCAAAGTAAAATTCTGGAAAGAAAGCGCTGAACCCGCAAAGATTCATCCTTTTGGTGTGGCTGAGTAATTATGATGCCAGAGTCAGTATAGGTGAACTGACTAACGGACAGGCAGCTTCTAGCTTCCAGGAGATATCCACTGTCTTCTTGGTTTGTAGTGTCACATTGCAAGATTGCTCCACACTTCGTTTAACAGTCCATATTTATCTTTAGTCAATGTAATTTGGCAGCCCAAACCAGCTTCTGACAAGTGCTATTCATTCTTACAATTGTATGAGCCTCCAAAATGTCCTCCAACACTACATTGACTGAAAATGTATTTGAACAATTAAAGTGTGGCGCTTTAATTCACAATCTCGCAGTCAAATCCTGGCAAAAGTCTTACACCTTACAAAATCTACTAGAATACATGGTTTTTTTTTCCACAGTCTGTGACCCCACTGGGGAGATTTTTGCTCACTCCAAGTTCTGTCTCACACCAATCACCTGCACAGGAAGCAAGGGTAAATCTTCCTCATCGGGAAACCGGCAGTGGATTCTAACCCTTTCTTAATTTTTTCAAAACTCAGTGGGCACTAGACTATTGCAAAATGTGTTCAGGGATGTAATCATGAAGTTGTTAGTTTTTGTGCACCAGAAACTGGTTTAGTTATGAATGGATTGTGGACAATTTATCCAATGTAGGGATGATCTCTTGGGCACTCCAGGCTTCACTTAGTTCCTCTGTTAAGAAGCCTGTGGCCTACAAAGTGCAATAGCTTAAGCTAAAATTTTCACAAGCAAATTAACGAGTGATGGTAGTGAATCCCCCATCCATGCGGCTCTGTCTAAGGTTTCCATTAATGAGAGGGAGCCTGAAGGTTTGGCTTCAGGCTCCCTCTCATTAATGGAAACCTTAGACAGAGCCGTATGGAGGGAGGATTCACTGCATGGAAAGGATTACATGAGGATTCACTACATGGAAAGGATTACATGGGTTTAAGCAGTTTGATGCTTAATTCCATGTAATCCTTTCATCACACTCAGTATACTGTACCTCTCCCGGTCCTGTACACAATTATTGACTGGAGCAGTGTTTTGTGTTTCATACAGGGCACTTTGCCGACGGGAGCTGTCATTGCGGACAGGAAGTCTTCCTTCAACTTCTGCCAACCAAGCCTGCAAAAAGTCCAAATTTTGATTAGTCAATCTATCACTGTATATAAAGTACTGGTTCTGTAATACCTGCAGAGAACTTATATTGATGACTTCACCGGACAGGAGTTGCTGTAAATGTTGGTTAGAAATTTGATTTAATGTGTTGTTGCTGCTCTTACTGGGAAGATTCTAAGCAAAAAGCTACCTCTCAATCAGGCTCCTAGTGCCTGAAAATATGTTAGACTGAGAGTACATTGTGCTATGTACTACAGCTGGATTGCCTCATGGTGAATAACTTCCTACTGATGTTTTAATTTTCTTTGGGTTACATAGTATTTGAGGTTGAATAAAGACATATGTCCATCAAGTCCAATCTAGTGTGTGCATGTAGTTGGTTCTACTGATGTGTGCGTATGTATAGGTCCATGTGTGATCTAATTTTTAAGAGTACCTGTACCCCTGTATATTACGGTCCCTAAGGAAATCGCCCAAAAGCTTCTTGAACGATTCCACACTCTTAGCTGAAATCACTGTTTGTGGCAGCGAGTTCCAGACCCTAACCGCTCTAACAGAGAAGAACCCCCTTCTCCCCTTGTGCTGAAAATTTCTCCACCAGTTTTAGGTGGTGGCCTCCAGTCTTTGTTATGGAGTTAATCCATAACACAGGCATGCAGCAAGTGAGGTCAGTGAAAAGTCAAAACTCTTGATCTGCATGTTTGCTCCAGGTCAGCATGACACCCAGTCAAACATAATTTTTAGGAGAGCCAACATGCTTATCCTCAATACAGATTTCCTTTAAAGTGGACCCCCTGCTGCTACATTTGGCTGCCAGGAGAGAAGAGAGTAAGTCTGTGTAGAAAGGATCCTCCGGAAAGGTAAGGGGGTGAGTCACATGCATACTTAGTACTTGTGGTAAGGAAACAAAGGTAAGGTAAGCAGATAGTGGTGCCACCATTACACTGAACATGTTACTTTACACTGCAAAGGCAATGCACAGGTTTGTTTTAAGGAATTAAAAAAAAAAGTGTGTGTCTTATTGTGGCCATTGGCTATGGTTGGTTAGAATGCTCTCAGCTTGGGTGAAAACAAAATATGGACAATCCGCCCAACCCTTTAAATAAGTGTTTGTGGAAGGTAGAGCTTGGGGTCAATGCCCCTACCCTTCCCTGCTATGACACTTTTCTATAGACTGAAGAACACATATACTCACTTCAAACTTTTGTACTTCCACACGTAGTTTCTCCATGTTATTTCCAATCTCTATCAACTTCTGAGCCACGCTGCCAGCATCTCCCATCTGTGGATTCTTCAGATAAACGTCTCTCATCTTCGTCAAAGCATCTCTGTGTTACAAATGAACAAATAAGGGACTGTTTAATATAGCCCATGTATAAAGCTGGAATAGTCAAAAACATTTTAAAATCTGATTACTAGGGCTTCCGATTCATTTGGCACTCAAGTTTGAAGACCAAGTCCACCACGGGCTAGTTGCTTAAAGCAAATCTAAACACAAAATAGATGAAATTTAGCAATGTGTATCATTACTATTCTTTCATCCTTGGATGCATCTCAGTACTGCTGATCTGGTTGTCATTTGAGGACTGAGGACAAATGCTCGTGCAATGTGTGTCCGTACAACCGCTTGCAGTCCCCACCAGTGTACATCACAGTGTGACAACACAAGATCAGGATTGGGACATAACTGTCACCCTATAACAGGAAGAATATAAATTTGAGCTGTGGATGGCCCTGCCAGGATCACTTGGATGTACAAGGGCTGGGCCGAGCTGTTACAGTGCTGTCCAGCATCTCCCTGTAGTAATAGTACACTGCTATAGTGATCTATTGCTGGCTGATTGCAGCCAGTACACTGCTATAGTGATCTATTGCTGGCTGATTGCAGCCAATACACTGCTATAGTGATCTATTGCTGGCTGATTGCAGCCAGTACACTGCTATAGTGATCTATTGCTGGCTGATTGCAGCCAGCAATTGATCACTATTAGAAGTATTCTGTTTGTTGCACAGCTGCATGGGAGGGGGGTCCTGGATCAATATGTCATTAAAAAAAGTCAAGAAAAAAGAAAACTGTAACAAATATATCCTATAAATAAATAGAAAACTATTCCAGCCCCAGGTAGCAACAATGATGCCTGATGAGCTGGAGAATTTTTATTTATGCAAATGTTTTGCCCCTGCATTGGGGAAAAAACAACAAGAAAATACAATATGTTTAATTTTCTTTTTTATTTGTTCCCAATAGGTAATAAAAAAACAAACAACAAACAAATACTGTATAATACATTAGGATAGACTACAAAACCTAAATGATATGAGAGGAGCGAGACATCAGTGAAGTGAAAAAAACAAAACACTCTGGGACTTGGGGGATATAAGGCCCGGGGACTCAAGTGGTTAAGGATCGCCATTTAGTTTTAGCTGCCAGCTGGGATTTACCCAACTCTGCGTGTAATAGGCAAGAGCAGATGGTGGAGATTAACCCTTTGGGACCTTGTGATTTTAAACCCCCCATTAATTAATAGATATCATGACCCTTAAATTGTGTTTCCAGCAAATGACATAGCTGTAAAAATCAATGGGAAAAAAAAAAAAAAACTGCAAGCAGATCATGTTTGCATTGCAGTTGTGGGAAGGAATACATAGTGCCCTCCAGATAAGCATCGGATAGTGTAACAATACTATGGGAGCGCCATATTTCAGGAATTAAAATAGTTCCAGTAGAGGGTTGTCCCACAAAGACACATTTTGAGATGTGTGTTTTTAAAGATGCGGGGCTAAAACAGTTGAAATTTTTTTTATGTTTTTTAACTTTTTGACAACATGGGGAAGGGTAAGAACTTCTGTCAGGTTTATATGAATGTGTTTCTCCCTGTTGGGAGGAATCCCTTACTTCCTCTCCTATTGACAGTGGTCACAGAGGCAGATCACCACTTTTGGATAGCACTGTTTTTTAAAGGATTAGTTCACCTTTCTGCACATTCTCCAGAAAATCCCCCAAGGTTTCCATCACCCCCCACCCCCCCCACCCCAGCACATTGCAAAGAATTGTTCAGATGTTTAAAAAGCTGCCCCTTTCCTATTGCATACCTGTAGGTTCTGCATGGGTGGTTGACTACCCTCTGTCCTGGCTAAACAGCAGGATGGGCCAGACATTAGAAGTGTGCCGCCAAAGCATTCAGGTTTGCAATAGGAAAGGGGAAAATTTTATAACAACAGATATTCTATCATCCCTTTTATAAAGTAAACACCTTTAAATAAAGCTTTCTGGATCAGTACACAAGTTGCTGGTCTGTATATGGGTAAGCACCCCCCTCCCTTGCCATCAGACAGCCATAGCATTCCTCACCTCTGATCAATCTCTTTCTGGATGTCTTTGTTTAGCTCGTCAACCTTTTGCTGCAGCTTTTTCCGCCTCTGTTCTGGTGGCAGGTTGCTGAAGTCCTCCGGCGTTGCCCCCTGGTGGAAACCAAAACACTATAAGGTCACGGTTACCATCTGCTCTAGTGGCATGCACTAGCTAGGATCATGCATCGCATGCCAAATAAAGGAGTAGGAGGGGAAAGCAAACAAAAATGATTTTCACACCACCACAGGCTAGTGATTCCCCGATTCAAAGCTTTACACCGCTAAGTGCAATGAGATTGCCCACTTCCAAGATACTGTTAGTAGTGTTGAAATGTTAACAAAATGGCAAGCTTGTGTACATAAAACTTGCATCGTATTCTTAATTTGGAATTGTCAACTTCTTCAATTTAAAATGTTCAGTTCACATTTGCTGCATTTTTTTTCATGTAATGCATCTGCTGTGTGTTCACCCCAGAACAACTCAACAGCCATAAAACACATGTACCCTGATAAATGCACAGCACCATATTTGACTTCTGTCTGCGCTCAGGTTGTCCAGCAATCAGCATTAGAAACTGCCAAGTATTACCAGTGACACAATGCAACTCATGGTATCGCTCAGCCCTCCATGCTACATTGCTACCCGAGGATTGTCATTGCAAAGCCTGACTAGGAAACGGTTCCTCTGTGCCCTGATGCTGTCAAAGATGCAGATAGCAGGAGGGGGCTAAGAGACATCATTTTTCTTGTGTTGCTTACAATGCTATTTTCTGGACAACCGAAAAACGGAAAGAATTCATATATTGTGCTAAGCATTTATCAAGGTACACGTATTATATGACTGTTTAATGTTCATAGAGTAATTCTAGGGTGATCTTCCAGTTTGAGGATAAGAGCACTGAGGTCCCCATCCTTAAAGCTGAACTCCAGGCAAAAACACCAATTCACGTAGTTATCATTTAAACATCAAATGAAATGCAGCCATTTTAAATAACTGACTTTGTTTTGTGAGCCCCCTGCAATCCCCTGCACAGCAGCAATGCAACTGGGAGAGGGATGGCCAGTACAAGGAACCACATCTGGCTCTGCTGCAGGCACATGTCCTGACAGGAAGCATGATGACAATAGAAGAGGGAAGACGGATTCATTTTACAGTGTGCCGATTATCCCCCATTGTCTAATCAGTAGACTGGGGCATTGTTCTTGATCAATGTGTGATCTAGGACCTGGACATATTGCCTGGCAGGGCTGTCTGGATCTCGAGATTGGCTAAACAGAATTACAAATTCTTTGACAGGTAATGTGTATTCAATTGCAAGCCTGGAGTTCAGTTTTAAGAGGACTGTAAACTATATTTACAGACTCTATTATTTAATACTCCCCTCCCAGATAGTGAAATGAATTAAATAAATAACGGGACGTACAGTATATACCTCTTTTATAAGTAAGACTGCACAGTCTCTCAGTTATATTTATTTAATATTCTGTTTTTTCAATTATTCTACACTTTGCTGTATCCTATCCATTTTTATTTATTTTTTGTTGGCTTTATTGAATAGTTACTGGACCAAAGACATACTGGGAATACCTTCATACACCATGTAAAAGTTCTTTCATTTTATGAGATTCCCTCTTTTTTGGTGATGCTGCCTATTACATTAAAGAACCAATCAGGAGGCAGGAAAAAAACTAACTTTCTACAGTAAAAATGTAGATTTGCATATATTTGCTGCTTGTAGTGCATACATTAAATTGTGCACATGAACCTGCATTTTGTCATGGGGTAAGGTCTGATTGGTCAGGTTTTGTACAGGTACACTTTAAAAACGACTAGTTATTGGTTGAATGGGATTCTGCCTTTCACTCCTTGTTCTTTACTCAATAAAGAAAACATAAGCAGAAGTTTTGGCTGTAATAAGCTTCTTCACCACTAGATGGAGCACTAAGACTTCTCTAGGGATGTCTGACATTTGTGCATCCAGAAAGGTCTTCTCTCTAGACACAAAGCAGAGAACAATGCCTTTGTTTTATCATTAAGCTGAAAGCCAAAGAAAACTGGAGGGATTCATAACAACCAGTCTGTCTATATCCAAATACAATTAACAAAAGAAGCTGGCATGGCAGTCCTCTTGTTTATAAGAGGTAGGCACTCTGCAAGATGTTATACGCCTGAGCATAGACCACATCTGATACAAACTGATCGCCTCATAGCATAGACGACCTTTGCTTAATCACTAAGTCAGCCCAGCTAGGCTCTCTACTGTTATAGTGACATTTCCCAGCAATGTCCGATCTGCCGCTGGTCAGCTCCCACCGCATTCCATCTGAGAGCACGCCTTGCCATGTCTGCCTACTCCTAGATGCCTTGCACGTGCCCTGGCATCTGCTCTGTCATCAAGCAGGCAGAAGATGAAAATCCCAGGTTGGGGCGGAAATACAGCTGCCCAACAACTAGCCAATCTACCAATGAGAACAGTGGGTAGAAGGGGAAATGTAGAATGGGAGAAATAGAATACTAACTGCGCGGCAACTATAAAAATTTGGACAACACCATTTGTTATAGTTGTTTTGCTCTATATATGATTAAGGGGTTGTTTTTTACTTCTGTTTATGTGTCTGGTTTATAAATCTCTATGTACACAGGGCAGCCCTATGGGTTCTTTCCACATGCAGGTTTTGATTAGTACCGTGTTTCCCCGAAAGTAAGACCTAGCACTATTTTTAAACATTCCTGTAATATAAGACCTACCCCGAAAATAAGACCTAGTTTGGGGGTGGCCCAGAGTGCAACCAGAGTCATGGCGGGGACTAACCGCTGCGCCGCAGCTCCCGCATGCCGCCCGTGTCACAAAATAAGCAGACACCCGTCTGCCTTTGCTTAGAGAGCTGCCGCCGGGCAGAAAACGACATTTCCCAGCAGGCAGTGGCACAGCGCGGCAAGGAACGTATGGTCAGTGGGGTCGGGGTGAGGTGACTGAGCCACAGTCACTGTGGAAACTTCTGACTGGAGGTCTGTGCAGTCCAGCCTGGCGACGAGAGAGGTGGCTCCCTGGCGGGGATCCCACAGAGAACTGTGGACGGCATCAGAGAGGAGAGCTCCAGGACAGCTACGGCCTGCAGGTATTGTGACACTGTGTGTGACAGTATTTAAAATAAGACCCCAAAAATAAGACCGTGTGTTATTTTTTGGGGGGGGGAAAAATATATAAAATATATATATAAAACATTTTCGGGGAAACACGGTAGTTCTGCGATTCCTACAACCCTCCTTCTCATCAGACCAAGGTGGGGGGTCTATGAGTATGAGCTGATAAACATAGTAGACTCTCTATTCAACTAAAACTAGCCATACACTGTTCAAATGCCGCTGAGCCATGCAGACCAGCGTGTGGCCCCCTCAGGTCTCTATTCAACAAAAGTTGATTTTTCAGCACAGAGCTGATTGAGAAAAGAAAAACAGTGTACAGTATTGCCAGCTTTTCTGAACTTAGCACTCTTTGAAGTATGTCTAAAGCCAAAACACTTTTTTTTTCATTTTGGATACAGTAGAGAAGGGTTAAAACACCTGTCAGGTTTATTTTCCCACTGGGGAGATTTTCCTTCACTTCCTGTCCCGTAGGCACAACAGAAGTGAGAAGAAATCTCTCCAAAGTAAGGAAACTCCTCTTAGTTGTCATAGCATTGATGTGCCCATGGGAAGACTTCCCCTCAGTTTCTGTTCTAGTGGCAATTCCAAATTTTGGATTTCTTCATCACTTTCAGTCCCCATCACCATGGTTACTAGAACAAATACAGTGAGAAAATCTAATTGATGGTTACACCAATAGAGATGATCTGAGATTGAAGCACCACACCGAAAATGAATCATTAATCAAAGTTAATCATCCAGCAAAATGTATTCACTCTCAGATTGCCTCAAATACAAACTAAGGAGACAGTCCTTTGGTGTGGAGAAGCTGCCAGACCCCTGAGCATCCAGATATTAGAGACAAATACTTCCAAGTTATAAAATAAATGTTGTTCATATCAATTAAACTTGACAGAGATTCTAACACTTCCATACACTATCCAAAAATAAAAACAGTTTTGGCTTTAGAGACACTTTCAGGCTTCAAGGCCGGCACGCACAGCTCCGTGCTGCATGCGCAGCCGTATCGGGCTGCTCCCGAGAAGGACAGGTGCTGCGTTTGATTAGTACGCAGCCCGCCCTTCTCTATGGGAGTACGCGGCCATACGCCCCCCTACGCTCTCCCTACACGTCCATGCGGGTGCCCGTACTCGTACGTTGACAAATCCTGTCTGCGTCCAAGCCGGGACACCCGCACCCTGCACTTGGGGTGAGTGTAGAGCGGCGTATGGCCGCGTACTCACATAGAGAAGGACAGTACTAATCACACGTAGCACCTGCCCTTCCCGGGAGGTGCCCGATACGGCCGTGCACGCAGAACGGAGCTGTACGCACCGTCCTTTTCTTGTGTGAATGAGGCCTTGAGCTGATTTGAAGCCACCCCAGTAAATGTATATTTATATTTCTGATTGACAATTTTGTTTTGAAATGTATTTGTTACCCATGAATTGCCAGAATGTGTATTCGTAATCAACTGCACTTTCCTATACTGACAGCCCATGTAGAGCAGTTGGGGGATGTCTGTGACCACTGTGTGACAAAGCCCCCGTGAGACAAAGCAGTGCAGTCTCCGAAACGCCCCCAACTCTCATTGATAGCAACGGTATGCTTGCAGTCTATATAGTGTGCATTTCTGTGGGGGTGGAGCATGTTTTCCTAATGTCCTACCAGTGCCCGTATTTCCACTCTTCAGCCAGACTGCTTTGTAGCAGCGAACGCTAGATCAGACATTGAAGCCAGTTTAAGTAGGTAGGGAAATAACACGGGCATGGTATGTTTCAAATTGAATAGTAATCACTTCCCTAATGTACAATACAGTACAGTACAGTACAATGTAATGTACAATCTGTGTATGACATATCAAAATATGGAACGGCAAGCAGGCAAAAACTGGTAGATGTGCTTATAGGTGTGTGCACAATTTGTGTATAATTATTTTGTGTCATGTCAACTTACAATAGCTCACATCATCAGCCTGCAGGGCAGAAGACTGTTTAAGCCATTTGTAAAATGTACTTGTCATCTCAACAGCATAGTAGTATTCATTATGCGGGTGGGTGTAATGATTCCGAGAAAACCTGCCTATAAAAGAACAGATTAGATCGCCTGACTATTCTCCTGCCCTGATGTGAGCAGCCTGACCAGAAGATTTTGCCCTCCATGATAATAACCAATCTGTTCTGCATGGGTCTATCCTTTCCAGAACAAGTATAAACAGGACCGTTCGATACAAGCTCAGGATTGGCAATTTGCTAATGAAAACTCAGTGACGTCACTATCTCCTTGCAAACTGATAGGCTGAGTACTAGCAGAACCCACAAAATCGTTGATTCCATTGTCTATGAGCAACAGGTGCTTCTGAAACCAAAAAGTCATGTGAAACATAAATACATTGTTAAAACATTTGGGTGCATGGCCCCAAGTAATTGTAGTAAAAATACAAATACAGTTAATGTTTTTAAATCACTCAGATTATTTTAAGAAGGGATTTGAACACCTTTAAATTGTGTGAGATTTGGCTAGAAGTTTAGACACTGTAGAACCACAAAGATACCCAAGGAATCACATGACGAAGGATCACACACAAATTTGTGACACCCGGAAGGAAGGAGTACACGCACACAAAAATGAAAACCGCATGCAGTCTATGGACAAAGTGAGGACCATCTCCAGAGGCACAAACAGAGCAATTTGGTCATATGTTAGGGGTCAGAAGAAGTATGCGAAAGCACTCAGTGCTTCCCTAGATGGACATTGTCTACTGTGACATGTAGCTTCACCATGAATGTAGAGCCATGGGCTCCCTACATATAGTGTTATGGAACACAACCTATTAATTGTGTCAATCTCTTGAGACTTATAGAGAAGTACTAAAAGGTAGTAAATTTGAAAAGAACAAACTTGTGGTGCTACTGTAATATATAAAAAAAATTACACTCCCCAGCATCCCGATGGCAGCTTCAAGCCCAATTGTAGTCTCGGAATTATTACTGTAATGCAGTCTGGCTCAGGGGTGGATCCAGAGTCTATTCTCGGGAGGGGCACTGCCAGAAAATTAAGTAGATCCCTGGATCCAAACAAGCCCAGCCTCCTGTCTCCCACACTGTCAGAAGCTGCATACAGCGTGTGCTGGTTACTACCTAAACCGGCGCGCTGTGTGCAGCTTCTGAGAAGAATCGCTATTAGCATAGCGAGGAAGCCGGCTGCGCATTTTGCAACACTCACGCTACGCTAATAGCGTATCTTCTCAGAAGCTGCACACAGCGCGGCCGTTTAAGTAGTAACCAGCACGCTCTGTAGGCAGCTGATGCCTGGATCCACCGACAAGCCCTTAAAAATGTTCCTGGATTTTAAAAAACTGGTCACCTTACCCTGGTGGTCAGTGGGGGCTCTGGTTGGTAGTGAGGGCTCTCCTGTGGCCGCACCAGCCAGTTTGCCCACAGCAGATCCTGCGCTAAATGCAACCCCCGGCCGCAGGTGCAATGGTTCCCTCCATCCACCGCCTCTCTGCCACCGGCACCGCTACAGATGCGGCTCTCTAATCGCGCAGCCGCTCGCTTCTCAAGGGTATACCGAGGCGATCCGGGCTGGCTGGAGCAGGCAGATGCGGTCCTCTAATCAGGTATGTTAGAGGGCTGCACGCTGGGGCCTCCCGAGTACCCCTTGAGGAGTGAGCGGCCGCACGATTAGAGAGCCGCATCTGTAGCTGTACATGTGGCAGAGAGGCGGCAGAGGGAGGGAACCATTGCACCTGCGGCCGGGGGCTTCATTTAGTGGGGAGTGACGCCCGCGGGCCCTCGGCTGGTGGTATTCAGCATTGCTGTATAATCATTATACAACAATGCTGAATACCACCCAACTACAGTCCCCCAATCCCCCAAGCCAGCCATCACCCACAGACTCCCCAACCTTACCTACATCCAGGCTGCAGCACCCCTCCTTGGCGGCCAGTGGAGGGGAGGGGTCACAGGAGAGGGTCCTCACTCATGCTGACCCACATACCAGGATGTGGCTGTGGGTGCCTGCAGAGACGGGTATAGGCTCTGCCTCCGCCAGGCTAACAGTGACAGTGTCAATGACAGGCAGCCGCCTGTTGTATTCACAGCACACACACCTGAACATACAGCTGTTCCTCCGTGTGTGTCACAGACTTTACTGCAGTTCATTGTACAAAGTTTTTACAATGAACCGCAGTAAAGTCTGTGACACGGAGCTGGAGGAGGGACAGCTGTCAGTACACAATGCGGGACGGGTGGCTGCGGCAGAACGTGGATGCAGAGTCGGGATTCGGGACACTAATCTCGGGGGGGAAATTGCCCCGTTGCCCCCTCCCCCCTGGATCCGCCCCTGGTCCGGCTGCATATAGAATAATGGGTATGCTCTTCTTTCCGTGCATTTTTACATAGGAGGTGAAGCAGCAAGGGTTACAATTCCCTGCGATAGCAGCATACTGGAAAGTTGAACCGGTCCTCTCACACACAAGTAGTCCCCCCAGGTCTCTAGTGGTCTGACACTCCCCCGTTTACACTGCTCCAATCAACAGCACTGCTAAGGGAGCT